TTCTAATGGGGATTCCTAAAAGGTTGTATTTAAGGTGTTATGTGCTTTCTAAGGTTTTCTATGTAGTCTTCTCCAATTATTTCAGTGCATACAAGGTTTGGTTCTAATGGAGGATTTTGTACCCCAACATTTAAGTTTTCAATTTGGGTGGTTATGTTAAAATTGAACTTTTGAAGTTTGTTAAACTTTTCATCAGTTTGAAGAGCCAACTAAAAACCTTCTATTGATTTTGTTTGCTTTATCTTGACTATTTGACATGGTGGCATGATGCAACAGTGAAAGTTAAATATGACTTTTGTTATTTTTTTTAATAATAATACTTGCTGATTTAAGTAAAATGTATTCAAATGAATTTGAAAAATTATTATAAAGCTTTCATAAACATGGAAATCACAATTAGAAGCAAGCTAGTATAAAATAACTAAACTAGAATTATGATAAAACTTTAAATCCTTCATAATAGGTTTTCTTATGTTAATAGAAATTAAGGAGATGTTTTTGGCGATTTCGTGGAGTACTCCCTCTCTAATTTTGATCCTTTTTAGTTAATTAATGTTTGATAAGTTTATGGCTAGGTTATTATGAAGGCAATTAATTGACATTATTGCTCTTGTCAATAAAATTATATCAAATATGTAATCTGCCATAAATTTGTCAATAAAAAATAAAATATCATGAAAAATGTTTACTATACCCAAAGTATAGAGGTTACCTCTTGAGAATTTGTAATCCACAATTTGATAACTCTCCAAACTTCTTAGTTTATTAGTGTCCATCTCCTTTAGTGCAAGTGATGTCAACCAATATCCAAAGCTCTGATACTAAAATGATGACCAGGGTTGGATGGCAGGGCCTTTGATCACTGATGCCATCAATTGATAAATGAGAGACTCTTATAATATAATTAGAAGAGTAAATATTAAGTTTTTATAGAGGAGTTACTCTTAAAGGTGGATGAAATTGGGAAGTAAGTCACAAGTCTTGTAATCTATTCAAAGATGTAAATCCAACTTCTTCCAATTGATTCTCCCTTAACAAATATTAAAAGCTAGTAAACTTGAACTTATTATGAAGTTGATGTTGTCTAGTTTATTTTTTAAAATTTTGGTAAGGATTGGATATGCTTAAGTGGTCCCAGTTTGCTCTAGCATAGGTGCCTATCAGTTATGTCCTAAACAAACTAATGTTAGGAATTTGTTTGTGGTTTTCTATAGAATGGGAATAATTTTTTAATTCCAATTGAACATGATAAATGAAACTTCCTAGATTTAATCTTGAAGTTTGGGGTATTTTGTGGTATTTTGATTTTTTTTAGATTATATATATATATATATATATATATATATATATATATTATCAAAAATAAGTATTAGACTAGAGCATAAAACAAATTAAAGAATTAAATTTTATAAATAGTCTATAAATTTAGTAAGTAACTTATTTTTATCATTAAAAATTTATCAAAAGTTTTGATTCATTGAAAATTTGTTGACATTAAATAATAATTTTTTAACCGATCGTATATGGAAATAAAAACTTGGTGTTAGAAACTATAAGAAAAAAGTTTTTATTCCAACTAAAAATAATAATTTCATTATACATAAAAATAATTTTAAAGTCATATAAATTTTAACACTCTTCTTTTATCTGCAAAAGGCAAAAATCATTTATGAAATGTTATAGACATAAAGCCGAACAACTCTGCACTTATATTTACTCCCTTAGTGACAGTGCATTTATTCAAAAAAAATTCCATTTTGTTTTTGAAACATAAAAAAACTAAAAACTAAAATGTAATGACTAAAAAAACATATAATAAATGGTCCTTTTAGGAGAAGACCAAAAAATTTAATATTCTTCTAAAAAAAGCTATTTATTGTGACAATTTTAATTCTTTTTAACCTTTTTGGTTAAACAGGCTCCTTCAAATTAAAATTAAAATAAGCTCTTGGCCCAAAAAAAAGGGTCATCTTTACCACTATTAGGTATTGTCAAAATAAAATTTTGAGAAGGTCCCAATGTCTTCTTGTCATAATAGGAAAACCCCGCTCTGTTAGGATTTTTGAACCTTTGCCACATCCTTGGTGCCTTGGCCCACTCCCCTCCAGGAGGGCTCCTTCCCTTCCCATTATTCCCCCTTTTGCCCTCCTACTAATGTCCTTCTCCTATCTAACTGACATCTCGGGCTTGAACGCCACCTCTTATTCTAGTAACCCTTCGCAACCTGCTCTGTCGACCTCTGCCCTTAATTGGGTAGGGATTCTCTCTGAACACAACCCCATCTCCAAAGACTTCCCCTTATCCGTTATCCCCCCTAGGAGTCATTCATCCTCTTCTATGATGGTCTAATTACTAATGGGTCTAAAGAGTGGGGTCTCTCACTCACTGGATATATGATTGGTTGAATCACCTTCTACTAAGCTCTCCTATTAGCCATGTGTAAGACTTGGCTCTTGAAAGGCACTCTTACCCTTCATTATTTTTGCGAAGGTTTTTTCCTCAAGTTTTCAGTTTATACAAAATTACAACCTTGTCTAGTCGGCTGGTCCATAGTTTTTTTAGGTAAGCCCTTTATCTTGCAAAAATGGAGCCCGTACTTTAGACTCTAGAGAGAGGAGTTCTCTTCCATCACCTTTTGGATCAAATTCCTTGATCTTCCCTTAGTCTGCTAGAATCCCATGTGTATCTCTATGATAGCTAGCTTTATTGGGAAATCACCCATAGCAGTTGATGCTTTAACCATGGCGAAAACCAGGCTTACCTTGTGTATGTATATAGGAAAAATATATATCTCTCCTACAAGATGAATTGCCCATTCAACTTGGGGAGCAAACCTTTAACATAAAAATCCAATATGACTTGAAGCCCTCTCCTTGCTTTGGTTGTGATTCCTTTGTTCACCCAACGAATCTATGCCACATTAACCCCTCTCCCCTATCCTAACCATCATATGTTGTTCCTCCTATTGGGAGGAGTATCACAAGGAATAACAGTAGAAACCTGCCCATATCTCCATTCCCAAATCCTCCCAGCATCGACCCTCCTTGCAAAATGCGAGTGCTAACTCTCAGTTGTTACACAATAATAGCCATGTTATTAATCCCTCTTCAATTCCCACCTCCTCTAACCCATTTAACCCATCTTTTGCTTATGATCCCTCATTGGTTAAGAAGCCCTCTCTCCCTAACCTCAATTCTCCCACTAAAGAAACTCTTCCCCATCAGGACAACCTTATTGTTGCCCCGTCCCTTCACCTAAATCTTGAACATGCATAACAAATTCACTTCCCTTTAGTCCTCAGACCCCCCATCCTTTATGGCATCCATTTCTACTGCCTTTTCTATTGTTGTTGCAGTGTCTTCTCCATATGCTTTGGGTTCTTCTTAACTACAATGCCTTCTCCATCTATAGGTATCTTGACAAAAGTTTATTTGGCACAAACATCGTGCTCTTTGTTTTTCTACCTTTACCTGGATGGCTTTGCTGGAGGGGCTGACATTTGCTGACATTCTCTCTAAACACATTGCTGTTGAGCCCCTATGCTCCTTTTGTACCTCAAATCTAGAGAGTCATAGGCACTTGTTCTTTGAGTGTAACTTCACTTTTTCTGTTATTTCTGCCCTGCTGTCAAATTTTGATGGTTATATACTCATGCCTAATATGCTTCAAGTTTTTTAATTTATTTTGGAGTTGCATAATATTGGCAAAATATTTTATTTTTTAATTGCTTACTACTCTCTTTATTATATCTGAAAGGAGAGAAATGATAGGAGATTTGTTTCTTAGTTTAGTAGCTCCTCCATTATTTATCATAACATTAAAATGGCTATCCTGCTTAAAATCTCTAGTTGGAAGAATTATAATGAGTTTAAGCTGGTTTTATGTTGATGTGGTGGTTCTATTTTGGTGGTTGGCTATTGTTGTTCTGCTATTGTATGGGTGTGAGGTTATTATGGTGGCTATGTTCTGGTTGTTCATTATGATGAATTTTCTTATGTTTTGGCCTACGTGTTAGGGTTTTTGGTGGTTTGGGGTTGTCTTGTGGCTTTCTTTACTCTTTCTTTTGGGGAACTCTATTTCTGCTAGGCTTTGTCTTATTTGCTGGCTTGTCTCTTCGATTTTTGTTGCATACTCGTTTTATGATAATTGCGGGGAGGTTTTTGTGGCTAGTGAACTATGAATGTTGGGTTTCTCATCCAAGCTCCATCACCTTGGATGGTCCTTGTGGCCAGGGGCGGAACCAGCCCTAATTTTCAGGGGGGGCAAACTTATAAGACATATATGTCGGGGTCCAAGGGGGCAGTGTCTTCTGGCGAGGTTCGACCTGTTGGGGGCAATTACCTAAAGACCATAGTATTTTAAAATTTTTAGGGGGGGCAATTGCATGAAAACCCTTGTAATAAAAACTAAAAAATGAATAAAAAGAGGTAAATTACCTAAAAAAATCATATAAAAAAATTTTAAAAAATTTTTGAGGGGGGGCAGTTGCCCCCCCTGGAACCTATTGGGTTCCGCCCATGCTTGTGGCAACTAGTCTCTATTTCATTCGTGGATGGCCTTTGGGCAACCAAGGATCAATAGTCTAAATCCTTTTGGGCTTTGGCTGCCTTAGGGCTTTTCATTCTTTTTAGTCTTTTTTTTCTTTTCATTCTTTTTTGTCTTTTTTCCTTGTAAGGTTCCTCTTAACTCTATATGTTTATTTTGGTATACGAGGTTTAATTTTGTTGTTTTTTGAATTGTAATTATCTTTTTACAATGAAATGAAAGTAGGTTTTGCCTTGCCCCCATTTTACCTTTTTTAAAAAATACATGTTAGTCGATTAAATTCTATAATAGATATCTACGGCATGCAGAACGTAAACAGACGTAAATTTGCTGGGTGTTCTCCGGGTCGCCCGATTGCCTCCCGATTGCCTCCCCCATTTCTAATAATATTTTATTATTATCCGAACCTATCTCTGCGTTCGGTCACCTGACCCAATAATTCCGATTGCCTCCCCCATTTCTCCCTTGTTCTCCGGATCTAGCTCGGATTGCGAGAACGAGAAGAGAGAGAGAGAGAGCGCCTCCTCCCTTCTCCTTCTCCGGATCTAGCTCGGACTACGAGAACGAGAAAAGATAGAGAGAGCGCGCGCGCACGACATGGGGCGGCCCGCCACGGTGTTCATATACGTGACCCTAGCTCTCCTAGTCCTCCTCGTTCTCCGTAGCCACCACTACCCCGGGCATCGCAGACATCTCCAACACCGTCGCCTCAAGCTCCGCTCCAATTTCTCTTTTACATCGCCTCCACCCGTTGGAGAACACCATATCCCGTTTGACCCTCTTATTGCCGACATCGAGCAGCGGCGTGAGGATCGCGAGTGGGAGCGTAGCCACTTCAACATTCCTTCCGCTCCTGGCGAGGAGGCCCAGCCCGAGTGGGAAGACTTCGTCGATGCCGAGGACTACATCAATGACGAGGATCGATTCAATGTCACCAGCCGGATCGTCCTCCTCTTCCCTCGCATCGATGTGGATCCCACCGATGGGTTTGTGTCACTTCAAGAGCTTACGGAGTGGAATCTACAGCAGTCAGCTAAGGAGGTGATGCACCGGACCGGGAGGGAGATGGAGATGCACGACAAGAATCGGGATGGGTTCATCTCATTTGCGGAATATGAGCCGCCCAGCTGGTCTCGAAATGGTCTGTAAGATCGCTCCTGGGTTTCAATACCCTCCACACTTTTCTTATAATCTTCAAAATCATGGTTATAAATAATATATTTTTTTGAATTGGACTGAAGAGTGTTGCTTTGGTTTGCATCGGCCTCCAATTTCCTCCTTTTAAAATATATGATATATCTTAGCATGTCAACTATTTTTTTTGTGCTAGGTTTCGTTTTTTATATGTTTGGTATGAAGTGATAGTTCATAAAAAAACCTTAACTCTACTAGAACTTTATTAATTTGGCTTGCCCTGTTTGGCTTTCGTTTCAGAACATCTTTGAACTCTGCCTAAGAACCAATCTTAGTTGCATGCCGTGAATGGTTATTCAGGCTTTTAAGGAATGTGCAATGTAAGGAAGTATGAAGTGGTTTAGTTTGCTTATTGATTATAACTTTGTTTTTGTAGACAACGCTACCTTTGGATATGATATGGGTTGGTGGAAGGAGGACCACTTTAATGCTTCAGACATGGATGGGGATGGTCTTTTGAATAAAACTGAGTTTAATGAGTATGTTTTTCGGTTGTTTAGATGTGTAGGTACTAGGTTTTGATTTTTGTTTACTATTTTTCATTATATGTTTTCATATTGCTGCAGCTTCTTACATCCAGCAGATAGCGACAATCCTAAGATGATTAAATGGTTGTGTAAAGAAGAATTAAGGTGCGATTTCTCATCAACCCCCCATTTTTTCAAATTTAAAGTTTAAACTGTTGGGGAAAATGCCTAATTTTTTGTGAAAGTGCTTGTCATATGTGAGTATGATGAACACATGTACTACTTACAAAGGGATGGAGAACCACAAAATAATGCTAAAATTTATATAGTTTTGCCATAACAACTCTATGTCCACAAGAGATAAGACTAAATCTAATTCACTATAGTGAAGTCATACATGCACAAAAATAAAAAGGACGCAATAAGATTTCTCCAAACTCAAATAGTCCTAATCTCACAAGAAATAGTAGGTCAAAATCTTTGGATAACTTAGGGTCTCCCTTATTCACTACCTTTCTCTCCTCCACTTCTTGGATCTCATAGCTAAGGCCTTCCAGTTCATCTTGGCCTCCCTCAAAGTTTGTAGCCACTTCATACCCAAAATCAGATCCGTACTTTCCAACTCTAGTGGAAGAAAATCCTCGCTAATGTGAATCCCTTGCAACTCCACCACCAATCCATGACAGATTCCCTTGCTCTTCTCCACCTTTCCTGCACCTATCATCATCCCAAAACATCTCTTGTCTACTAGCTTTAGCCCCAACTTGTCAACCACCTGATTTGTTATGAAATTGTGGGTAACCTCTCTATCCACCAAAACTGTCACTGCTTCCCCTCCTATCTGTCCCCTCATTTTCATAATGTGATTTGGGGTGAATCCAATTACAGAAATAAACGAAACCTCCGCTACCTCCAAGTGTAAGGGCTTCTCTTCCTCTACCACTTATCCTTCTACCCCTATTCCACCTATCTCCTCCTCATCACAAACAAAAAGGATCTGCAAGGTGCAATTTTTACCTCTATGGCTCGGTGTAAACTTATTTTCGCTCCTAAAATATAGCTCTTACCTCGTTTTTCTTGCAGCTCCATATAAGTCACTCGTTTAAAGTTCTCTCCCGGATGATTTCCCAAACCTTTGTCCTTTGCAGCTTGTTTTTGACTTGATATAGTCGATACCCTAGGTGCAAGGAAGGTGGTCGTCAGGACTAGATGTATCTACCTGATACAACACCAAATAAAAAAAAGGAAGCTGGTCACCATGTGGTAAGAATCTCCAAAACTATCCCCTTTGCTACTCCTCTCAAGTGAGTTATTGTCCTCTATCAACTGGGCTAACTCTATAGCCTCTCCCATGTCAGGAGGTCTTGTCACCCTCTCAGCTCTGGTTTGAGTTCCTTCATGAAATTGCTCTTTAACACCGTCTCCGACAGTCTCCCTAAACATTCCGACAGAAGCTTAATTCTCTTTCGGTACTCCATCACCGTTCCCACTTAGGTCAAAGCAAAGAACCACTCATAATAGTCCCCCTCTTGCTTGGTTCTAAAGTGCTCCAATAAGCGGTCCTTAAATTCCTCTCATGAACGGATCGGGTACCTCATCTCCCTGCATTGTAATCATGTTAGTGCCTTCCCTTTGAAATATTTAGTTGCCGCCATAAGTCTCACCCCATTCATCAACCCGTTCACCACAAAATATCCCTCTATTCTATGGATCCACCCATGCGCATCCTCACCTTTAAACAATGACATTTTTAGCTTCTTGACCTTCGGATTGCATCTAACCCAATTTCCCCTTTCTTCCCCCATGCCTCCCATGAAGTGTGCATTGTGGCCTCTCCATGGTTCCCTGTCCTCCCCCGTTCTTTCATTCCCCTTCCTTCCTTCAAATTTAGCCTGCTTGTTCTCTTCTTCCCATTCCCTCCTACCTTCATATTCCCTATCCATCCCCTTTCTCAGTAGTGGCTCCAGGTGGGATATTCCCTCCTACTCTCCAAAAATTTTCAACTCTCTATCTCCCCTTGGCTGATCCCCCCTTGCTTCCAGTAGAGCCGCTAAATTTGAAACTCCAACATCCACTTCAACATCTTCTCTAGATTTCCAAATCTTCTTTCCATTGCTGAAAAATGCTCATTCAATCATCCCACATCCGTTCACAGCTTCCCTACTTCCCCCTCCAACTTTTCTTTCAATGCCTCAACTCTTCTCCCAGCCATCGATCCCAAAAACTTGCTCTGATACCAATTTGGTATGTTTTGGAAATCGAATTAGCAGCCAAAATAGCCAAATTGATTCATTGTTCGAGTGGTGAATCGACTCTCCCCCAATTTCCTAGCAGCAACTAGGAACCCAAAATCACCTAAGAAAAGCTACTTTAAAAAATTCTTCACATAATCCCTCCCACATACAAACTTTCACCTTTAAAACCAGCCTTAATCCCACCATAAATGCACCTCACATTTTCTCCAATGATCTCCCCTTAAACTTTTTCCGCCCAAAACGCACCTCACATTTCCTCCAATGACCTTCTCTTAAACTTTTTCTTCCTATAGGTCTGAATGAGGTGCTGGGATGTGCAAAATAAGAGCCTATTGGCTCTTGAAATGATGTGGGGTCTACAACCATATCTATGGCCTTAACTAATCTTCTGGAGTATGGTTTAGAATATTCATAAAAATAATGAATGAAGCTAGATGCAAACAAAGCCAAGAGACTCATATGGTTTTCGTAGAACACTCCACTAATGCTAAAATCTCAATTCTTGTTGTATATGTTGGTTATATAATTATTATAGGTGATTATAATAAAGAAAACGAGTCTCTTAGGAAAAAAAACTTGCTGAGGAATTTGAGATCAAGGAGTGGACAAGCTCAATTATTTCTTGAGCATAAAAGTTACTAAATTAGAATAAGGAATATTCCCTTCAATAAAAATATGACAGATCAACTAAATGAACTAAATGAAATAAAAAAAAATTGATTGTAAACCTCGTGAAATCCTAACTAACATAGATAAAAAGTTAGATGCAGATGAAGAAGGGAAAGAAGTAAACATGGAACAATATCAATTATTAATTAGAAAATAGATCTATCTATCTCTCATCCATCCAGAGATCACATTTGCAGTTAATCTTGTTAGTCAATTCATGAACAGAGTTAAAGAGTTTCTTGTTCAAGCTGCTTATACAATCTTTAGATATCTTAAATCAGATTCATGTAAAGAAATTTTATATAAAAGGCAAGATTTTTTTACAAATTTATGGATATATTGATAGAGGCAATGCAGGACAACTAGTGGATAAAAGAGCCAAAACTAGATACTGTATGGAAATCATTCCTTAATGCACCCCTATGCCACAACAACTTATGCTCAACCGCCTTGATCTCCATCCCACCGCCTTTTTCATAGCCACCCCCATTGTAGTCACCAACGGGAACCACTTGAAAGCCGCACCACCACCACTTCCTCTAAAAATTTTGGCATATTATTCTCATCTTTATGTTGATGAAAAATATTTATGAAAGAAAAAGATGATTGAAGAAATGAAAAGAAACAGATTGAGAGACATTGAACTCCATAGGATGAGGCAGGGAAGAGACCAATTTGTTGTGTCGACGACTCAAATAAAAACTACCTCAGTGATGACAGTGTAGACGATTTCTGAGTTGTTGTTAATTATGTTAGATTTTTTTAAGATTTAAATCTTGATGAGTAGGAAACTGAGAAAGAAGGAATTTAAATATGAACTTAATGCTATAGATGCTTTACATAATTCCTATATTTCATGTTATTTTGCTCTTATAATATTTGGATTTCAATTCTATTTCACACAGTTTATCACTTGACAGTTTATGTTTTATGCAATTTTTTATTTTATATGTATGCTAATTTATTACTTCATAGTTCAATAGAAAGTTAATATGTCATTATTTAACATATTATTTGGGTGTTACACAAAAATATTTTAACATTTATTTTTACTTTTCGCAATATTTGGATCGCCTCAAAACGCTTTGAGGCTTTTAGATCACGCCTCACAAAAGAAAATGCTTTAATACCCAATTACAGAATTTTAAACTTTGAGTATTAAAAAGAAAAAAGTGGTTTGACTAGAGATGTAATGGTTAGAAGTTGTGCAAAAAAGATTGCATAATATAGAGTTAGCACCTCATTAAATACTCGAATGAAGACTATGAATTCACAAAATCGGACACAAATACTTGTATTAGGATGAATGATTACAATGTTCTTGCATGTTTTGATATTAATTATCATTAGAATATATTTGAATTTGATGAAAGAATAAATCTGTATACATTTTAGCCTGTTCTTTTTTGTGTCGTGTTTTATTTTTGGTTGGAGAATGGGCATATTGAAAAACTTGTAGTAGAAGTTTCCTGTGAAAGTGGGCAAAGTTAGATGAATGAAGCATGTGTTGCAACTATTGTTGTATTTCTAATATGTTGACTATTTTCATAGGTTTATGATTGTTTAACTGAAAAGAAATTTAATATTTTGTATTAGTTGCACTATGATCAACAGAGACTAGTCTGGCATTTCTTATATTCTTGTTGGTATCTCATTATTTTGAAGCACATCCTGGGTGACATGGTTATCCGAAATTGGCGTGAGGGGAAATATATGACAGTTTCTTTGAAGCCCCTGGTTATTTTAAGATATGTGCTGTTACTAGATGATTTATGGTACCCAATGATGCTTGGAAAAATCTTAATGTAGATCCAAACGCTATGATCCACCTTAGCTTTTATGCAGCTCAGTTGCATTCTCTCATATAATCCATGATCTCCAGTTTTTGATAATTCAGTTTCTTTTGTATGTCTTGTTCCTTATTTTCCTTTTGTTATTCAACATATCAGGGAAAGGGACAAAGACAGAGATGGGAAGCTTAGTTTCCAAGAATATTTTAATGGACTATTTGACTCCTTACGTAATATTGAAGAAGTTTACAATCACTCTGTTGCATCAGATGGAGCACTATCTAATAAATTATTCCAAGAGCTTGACAAGGACAAAGATGGGTATGCTAGGTGCTGTTTTTGGCCATGGAAAAGTAGAAATTTTGTACTGATCTTTGTTGATTTCCTTGCAGTTTCCTTAATGAGGATGAACTTATGCCTGTAATTGGTAATCTTCATCCTTCCGAACGTTACTATGCTAAACAACAAGCTGATTATGTGATATCTCAGGTATTGTTTCATTAAACAAATGTAAGATTTTTTTTTCCATTCAAATTGCTCAGATAATATGGTATGAAATAGGGGAACTTTCAACTAAATCAACGAATCACAAGTGAAATTGGGAATAATAAACCACACATCTTTTTTTATTGCAAGATAGATGAAATAAAATAGCAAGATACAATTGAATATTCAATTGGAGAGGAAGACTCGGCTCTCCCAAATCTCTAATCGGTAGAGCCCGCACAACCTAAGAACAAACTAAATTCAGCAAACTCATAACATATTCTAACCCTAGGGTAAATCAACTATTTAAAGCAAATAATAAACAGTAAAATACCAAAATAGCCCTCCCTTAATTCCTTCCCAAATTAGCCCCAAATATGCCATGTTTCCTTAAATATTTTTCTCCCAAATCAGCCCTCAAATTTGTCTTCTTCAATTAGGAAACAATTCCTAATTAATCCCCTCCTAATCAGCCCTCTTCAATTAGAAATATTTTTTAATTAACCCCGTCTAAATGAGCCCTCAAATCAACCCCCAAATATGCCCTCTTCAATTAGGAAACATCTCCTAATTATATTATTATTATTATTATTATTCTTATTTAGGAATCATCTCCTAATTAATTCTTTCTAAATCTGCCCCCAAATCAACCTCCTTTTATTAATAATACATTCCTAATTCCCTCCCAAATCTAATTCAAATTAGCCATCTATTCCTAAATAAGCTTTCTTAATTATTTCTCCCATGATTTCTCCTCCTTACATAGTGAATATAAACTCCCTACGGCCTCACAAGGTGGGCCCCTAGCATATCAATCCTTCAATACTTTCCACCCAAAAAAACACTTTGTTCTCAAGGTGGAAGATGGGAACGATCTCCTGATCATCTCATATCGCTCCCATGTGGCTTCATACTCTATCAAATCTTTCCACCTGAGAAGTACCTTCTGACCAATGAACCCAGGATGCTGAGAATGAATTAATAGATCAATAAGATCATTCCTTGAGATGATTATTTTTTATCCTCTTCAATTTGTTTGTTCAAATTTTTTGGTTTGCTCATTTTCCTTGTTATCAATCATTCACATCTTTAGCTTTCTCACGCTATAATCATTATTTTGCTAATAGCTTTTCCGACTATCCACTCTCCTTGCCCGAAATGCCTCCTATAGTAGTCGGCAACCTTACTACCTCCTCCAAAAATAACTACCTTGCTTTCCCCTCATCCATAAATCTTGATCCACCCCTTATAAAAGCCCTCGAAGGTGGCTCTTGATGAAAGAAACTCTCCTTGTTGAACTCCTATTAGATCTCCTTTCCCTTCAATTCTGGCCAAGAGAATCCTGATCAAATCTTGGTTAGAGTTAGCCATCAGAACCATCAATGAAGTTTTTGATTGAATCTCCAAATGTTTCCTCATCATCTTCTCCATCCCTCCTGATCGATTTTTTATGGATGAAAGCCTTCCTTCCATGGATGAAAACCTTCCTTCCATGGTTGAAAATTTTTCCTTTATGCGGGATTTGAATTGCTCCATTTTGCCTTTTAACGTATCTGCTCTCTTTGAAGTCATCTCTCCAAAACCTCGCTCTGATACTAATTTGATTCAATGTAGGGGTGCTTTCAACCAAATCAACGAACCACAAGATAAATTAGGAAGAAAAACACAGCACAAATCTTTTTTTATTGGAAGATATATGAATGAAATGAAAAGATGCAGTTGGACCTTCAATTGGAGAGAAAGATTTGACGCTCCCAAATCTCTAATCGACAGCTAGAGCCCTCACAACCTAAGAACAAACTAAGTTCTGCAAACACATAACATATCCTAACCCTAGGGTAAATCTTCTATTTAAAGAAAACAATAAGCATTAAAATACCAAAACATCCCTCCCCTAATTCCCTCCCAAATCAGCCCCAAATCTACCATATTTCCTTAATTATTTTCCTCCCAAATCATCACTCAAAATCAGCCCTCAAATCTATCTTCTTCAATTATGAAACATTCATGATTAATCCCCTCCAAATCATCCCCCAAATCAGCCCTTATTAATTAGAAAATATTTTCTAAATAACCCCCTCCAAATAAGCTCCCAAATATGCCATCTTTAGTTAGGAAACATCTCTTAATTTATTCCATTTATATGAGCCCCCAAATCAGCCTCTTCCCTTAAAATAAAACCTTCCTAATTCTCTCTCAAATCTAATTTAAATTGGCCATTTTTCCCTAAATGAACTTTCCTAATTATTTCTCCCATGATTTCTCCTCCTTACATAGTAAATATTAACTCCCCTGGCCCCCACAAGATGGGTCCCCTAGCATATCAATGCTTTTCCCTCCAACAAAGCAACTTGTCCTCATGTTGGAAGATGGGAACAGTCTCCTGATCATTTCATATCGCTTACATGTGGCTTCTTACTCTACTAAATTCTTCCACTTGATAAGTACTTCCTGAATAATGAACCCAGGATGCTAAGAACGAATTGGTAGCTCAATAATATCATTCATTGTGTTGATTATATTTATATCCTCTTCAATTTGTTTATTGAAAGTTCTGAGTTGCTCCTTCTCTTGTCATCACTCATTTGTATCTTCAGCTTTCTCACCCTAGAATCGCTACTGCCTAATCCCTCCATGTTTCCCCCATATATCAACAGTGGGAATCCCACATTTCTTCCCTCCACCTTATAGGACTCAATCCCCATTGTTTGGCCTGTCTCCCTCCTTTGGTCGTCCACTCATCTGAACCAAAAGACCTCCCATTACGGTCGGCCACCCCTCCACCTTCATCATGAAAGACCCTTCTTATTGTCTCCCTATCCGAAAGCCTATTATGTCCCTTATTGGAGCCCTAGGAGATGGCTCTTGACCCTCTGCTTCTCTGACGACCCACTTTCCTTACTCGAAGTGCCTCCCATAGTGGTCGGCCACCCTACCACCACCAAAAAAATATCCTCCTTGTTATCCCCTCATTCGGAAACCCTGATCCACATTATATCGGAGCCCTAGGAGGTGGCTTTTGATGAAAGAAACTCTCCTCGTTGAACTACTCCAGTTCGATCTCCTTTCCCTTCGATTCGGCTAAGAGAATCCTGGTCAATTTTTGTCTTAGAGTTAGCCATCAGAACCACCGGTGATGCTTTTGATTACATCTCCAAGAGTTTTCTCATTATCTCCTCCATCCCTCCTAATTGGTTTTCCACGGATGAAAGCCTTCCTTCTGTGGATGAAACCTTTCTTCCCTGGTTAAAAATTTCTCCTTAATGCAGGATTTGAATTGCTCCATTTTGCCTTCCAACGCATCTAACCTCTTTGACGTCATCTGTCCAAATCCTTGCTCTGATACTAATTTAACACGAAGTAGAGGAACTTTCAACCAAATCAGTGAACCACAAGATAAATTGTGAAGAAGAACACACCACAAATATTTTTTTATTGCAGGAGATATGAAATAAAATAGCAAGATGCATCTGGATCTCCAATTGGATTGGAAGATACGGCTCTTCCAAATCTCTAACTGGCAGCTAGAGCCGTCACAATATAAGAACAAACAAAATTCAGCAAGCACATAATGTATCCTAAACCTAGGGTAAATCAACTATTTAAAGCAAAGAATAAAAAATAAATTACCAAAACAGCCTTCTCCTAATACCCTCCCAAATCAGTCCCAAATCTGCCATATTTCCTTAGTTATTTTCCTCCCAAATCTGCCTTTTTCAACTAAGAAACAATTCCTAATTAATCCGCTCTAAATTATCCCCCAAATCAGCCCTCTTCAATTCAAAAAGATTTTCTAATTAACCCCCTTGAAATCAGCATCAAAATATGCCATTTTCAATTAGGAAACATCTCATAATTAATTCCTCTAAATCAGCCCCCAACTCAACCTCTTTCCCTTAATAAAATTTTCTTAATTCCCTCCCAAATCTAATTCAAATCAGCCATCTTTCCCTAAATGAAATTTCCTAATTATTTCTCCCATAATTTCTCCTCCTTACATAGTGAATATTAACTCTTTTGGGCCCCACAAATTAGGTCCCCCCTGGCGTATCATAATACTAACTTGATAGTAATTAAATATGGCCTTATCTTCTATAATATCTGAGTTTATCCCTCAATTTAACTTATTTAAAAGTTAATTGTTTCATTCATTTTATGAAAGTTATATGCCAAGTTGTAGCTGCAATGTTGTATAGCTATAATTTTGTTATTTTCTAATCTCTTAATTCTTGTCCTAATGATTTCTTTCTTTTTAGTTCAATAATTTTACAGCTGGTTCATCCATGGGTGATGTTAATACATGATCTGTTTACAAGCTTTGCTTCAGGAAATGTGTTTGACCCCACAACATCAAAATATTTTGTGGTTTTCAGGTTAAGATTAGGCTTTTTTAAATCATTTTTTTAATAAACAGTTAAAAATTTGCAAATATATTTGTCCCTACCAAAATGTAAAGATTTTGAAGTTTTCAGGTTAATATTAGGCTTTCTTGGAGATCATTTTTTTATAAATTTTAAACGTTGATTAAAAATGAACAAAATATATCTGTCTACTTTTATAATTTTATTTTAAAAATAACAATATATCTTTAAAATACCTAAAAATAAGTTTCAGGTGTTTTGAATATTTTTAAAATAATTTTTTTTTCTTTTAATCCCATCATCTTTCTTTTAATTACTGCAGAGAGCCAAAAAAACATTGAACAATGCTTCAATTACTCAGATCTAGATTGTTCAAAGGCAATAGACTCGCCGGAATAACTTTTGCTGGGGCATTGGACAAGATGCATCAGGAGAAATGACCGGCAAGAAGAGTGCTCATGAAGCTTTTGCGGTGATGATAAGGGCAGGCGGTCGGCAGACCCTAGCTATCTGTGCTGGGTTAAGCAAGGAAAATTTATTTTGGGAAGGGGAGATGGGGATTGGTTGGAGAAGGGTTGGGATTAGATTAAGGATGGGTCATTAATTATACTGTTGATATGGTGATCTGAAACATAATAGGAA